TTAGTTAGGCTGCTATAGGCTTAGGTCGCTGGAGGACAAACACCATATCTTCACTCTGCTGTCTTTACTCATTTTACTCTCCATGTTTGTATTTGCAGTTGGGGTGTTTTTTTTTTTTTTGTTTGTTTGTTTTTTCACTATGTACTGATAACTTTATGTCCCCAGCTAGAGGAAGTCGGTCGTCCATTCTGAGCCAGGTTCTGCTATAGGTTTCTTTCTATTTAAAGACAATTGTATCTTTCCACTGTTGCCAACATGCTGCTCAGAATGAGGAATTGGCCCAAAATAAAGATTACCGGTTGGTTGTTTTAGATTAAAAAAAACACTTTTTTGTTAATTGACATTTCATGATGCACTGTAGGTGAATGTAATGTTTTGCAATTGGAATAAAGTCAGAAAGTCGGAGTCAGAGTCAGAGTTTCTTTATTGTCATTCGCATCGCATGTGGTACATGTGGTAGAACGAGATTGTGTACTCAGGGTCCCAATTACATCCCGCAATAAAATGTATAAGAAAAACAGTAATAAGATCTAGGATATGAACTAAGAAAAACATCAGTTAAAAATATGCTAAGCACTAGTAGCATAAAAATAATAAAAACATTACGCCGAACAGCAGCACGAACATGAGTCTGTGTGAGCCGATGAGCACGCATGGACACAGCAACATGAAACAGATCAGCAGCAATATGATGTGATATTTCACAGTGATTATCCTAGTTAGATATTCATGAGTCTAAGAGCCTCAGGGTAGAAGCTGTTCCTCAGTCTAGTGGTTCTACTTAATGCTCCTTAACCTCCTTCCTGAGGGGAGCAGGGCAAAAGTGAGTGTGCTGGGTGAGCGGGGTCCTTCATGATGCAGGTGGCCCTCTTTCTGCATCCGAAGGTGTAAATGTCTGTGATGGTGGGGAGACTGACTCCAACAGTCTTCTGTGCAGCCTCCATGCCACACATTGATGCTGGAGCACAGGATGCTCTCCACTGCACACCTGTAGAAGGAGGTGAGGACTGAGCTTCCCAGACCAGCTCGTCTCAGACGTCTGAGGAAGTAGAGTCTCTGATGAGCTTTCTTGATCAGGCTGGTGGTGTTGTTGCTCCAACTGAGGTTTTCATTCAGGTGCACAGCCAAGTACTTGTAGCTGGAGACCACTTCCACTGCAGATTCTCCTATGTTCGTGGGGTGTAGGTGTGTTTGTTACGTCTGAAGTCCATGACCATCTCCTTCATCTTCTTCACATTGATGTGAAAGTTATTCTCCTTGCATCAGCTCTCCAGGTGTTCCACCTCCTGCCTGTAGCTGGACTCATCGTTGTTTGTGATGCATTCCACCACCGCTGTATCATCTGCAAACTTTACAATGTGACAGACTGACTGCAATAAACTGACTATCTTAATTAAATTTTGCAACAAAAGCAGATAAATCATTATCTACATTAACCAGAAAATAAAGTGTCATTATCATAGACAAGAGGCAACAAAATAACTAGACAATTATGAGTGCTGCATAGACAGCACCAAACATCCAGTAGCAGCAACTTTAGGTAATTCGGGTGCATGTGATTCTAATGTTCAGATGTCTTCAGGCTATTAAACATTTGAGTTGCCTTTAAGTTCTCTTGGGATAAGAAAAAGGAAGAAAATCTGTATTAAACACACCACGTTCAATGAAATGAGCAGTGATGGAACTAAAAAGAGGGGAAAAAAAACACTAGCGGCTGGAAAACTTAAGCACACTCGCATAAGTAAAATGTTCCCATATGACATTTCCCACTATACTTCCAATAAAAGCCCACAGGAGTTTATTTTACTCTTCAATCAACTTCCTATTTATTCATTAATAAAACTGTGGTTCTTTTCCTGGTTTTCATAAGTGAATGGAACGGTTGCAGCCCGTCAGTAATCACAGATCTCATGGATATACTGAATATCATTTTGTTTCTTTCATCAGATTGTCAGTGATCATCTCCAGACGCACAAGAGGGACAGAACTGGTTTGAACAGCATTTCTCTTCAGGTACACATGAATGCCTGAGCAGACAGAACTGTAGCACTTTGTTCTTTGTTTTCTGCAAACGCACCATTCATTGAGGAATTTTTTTTTCTTCTTCTCAAAATCATATTAGAAAATATTCAGTTACAGTATTGTGTAAAATATGTAATCTTTAAAACTATCTTGCAATACAACAAAGTTAAGTCAGGTCCTCTGGGTGGTTTCTTTTTGTTGAAATGTTTCGTCTTTCATCCAAAAGACTTCTTCAGTCTGAGGAGCTGCAACAAACTGTCTTCAAAGCACATTCACATAGTGGGTCAACCAGTTTGCTGGTGCTAAGACGGTTTCTGGAGTCCTCCCTCTCCCCCACCGACTTTTCTGAGGCAGTCACTGCTGACGTCACAGTGGGCACTTCACTATGTGAAGGTGCTATTTATAAGACTGAGTTTGTTGTGGCTCCTCGGACTGATGAAGTCTTTTGGATGAAAGATGAAAACTTTTAAATTTGTCAAGGTTCATGCTCAATAATCCAAGCAAAAAAAATAAATAAATAAAAATCCAACAATGTTCAGTCAGGTCATCTGGACAGTATAAACAAACACGTCTTCCATCTGAAAGACTTCATCAGACAAAACGTTTCAACAAAAAGAAACCATCCAGAGGACCTGACTTAACCTTGTTGGATTTTTTAATCTGGATTACTGAGCATGAACCTTGATATCTTGAAATATATTGTTCTAAAGGTCTAAAAAAATTATTTAGACTTTGGTATACTTTAATGGTACATTTAATCAATAATTAAATTATTAAATTAATAATTTAATTAGTATACATTTTTATGTCCTAAGCATTTCATTACATTGTTGACCTTGTGTTGATTTTGCACATGACAAATAAATCTAACCTCAACCTTTTCATTCTAACTCTCATCTAGCAGAATATTTAAGCTGCTGTTGTTTGCTTAAGTGGTTTAACTCTAACCAAAGAGTCATTCAGACACGAAGCTCCTAAATTCAAAGTATAATCAAGTGTTGCATGTGTCTCAGCTGCGGTAGCTGACATAGACATAGAAACCCCTTTAAACCCTTTTAAGACTGAAACTGTTTGGGTATCAGTCTTGATCCTCTATGCAAGGTAATGTTTGTTGGAGTGAAAATGGTCCTGCTGTTTAAGCTATCTGGTTGATTTTGTTTTCTGACATTTTCCCTTTGCTTCGGAAGTTATTCTACAAGTGAAAAGTGAAGTAACACCAAAATATACAAAGGTTTCTGTCAGGGCCAGCTATAATGTACTTCTGTTGCAAAATTCATCGTTATCTATGTAATGTGGTATGCTTCCACCATGAGGTGCAAATGCACCAAGACATTTTGTAATATTGTGTGTTACTGAGTTTATGCTGCTGATGATAGGTCTGAGTGGGGTTACTTCCTTGTGTATTTTGTGAAGTCCATATAAACATGGTGTGACTTTCTTCTCAAATAATTTGTGGTAAAATGAGCAACTGATTAATTTGTCTTTTTCAAGTATTTGCTAATAGTCTGTGACCGTCTTTTCTCGTTACTGGTTGGGTGCTCTTTAAGGCCTCATACAT